CAGCTTGATGATTGAAACAAACCATCAAAATTAATATTAAGACCAAGACGTAAAAGGTAGATGAAAATGCAGTACGGTCCTAATTATCTGATGGAGGAAGGATAGATAGAGATCACCCTGGTAGTCTGGTGACACAAATACCAGACAAATGCTTTGGATGGTCTTTATGCTGCTAATTTGAAAATGTGATTCTTGAACCATCCAAGGGCAGAGTAACACTCAGCTTCCTGAAAATTACCTTTCGGTCCAGTATGTACAAGTGAATCAAATCTCCATCCACTAGCTTTTGTTAAAACCAGAAGCACTGACTGTAGAGAAAACAGTTTTGGTCTTGCTGAATGTAGGTGGTTTCATTATCTACCTCTCTGAGTAAGGCTTTAGTTTTATAGACATAACAGTAGAAACAGGCAAGTAAATTGGTCACTTCCCAGCACACAACAAAGGGCAGCCAGCTACAAAACATCTTGTTATGTAGGGCAATGACACAGTGCTGGTGGGTGGTGGTGCTGAGGAAAGGTGAGGCCGCAATGTTCTGCCTATCTGTAGAAAGTGCAGGGCTTCCAGAATTTCCGATGGTAGAAGAAACGAGACACTGACAGACTTGTAACTGGGACAAATTCATGCATCTTTCTATGTCTAATTTTACTCAGGTGCAAAGATTTACTTTCAGGTAGGTTTCAAGCAGTATTCCACTCTTCAGGAAGGCTTTCAAGGCTTTCTGAATTCCTGTTTTCATCTTGTGGATTCAAAAAAGGGTCTAGCTAGCTCCTCTGACTACCTCAGAAGGGATGTAGAAATTACCATGGTTTACATTAGTGTATTTTCATCCAGTCACAGAAGCAACAATTCATGCTGAAAAGTGCTCAAAACCTTTAAAGATTTTGAGCTGGTAGAGTGAAGTAGTAATGGTAATGTGGATAGCCACAATTCTAGCACAATGATGATTCCAGTAAAAGTATTGCAACTATGCTCTGTCCCTGACATTTTCCTACTAGACAAAGGGAACAATAGAAGCATGATAATTCACTATATGCCTCTTTTCATCCATTTGCACCTTATTCGTTCTTTTTTAGTGCACCACAGAAATAAGGAATGCAAATGACTCACTAGATAATGTTCTGATTTTGTACACATAGCTTCTGGTGATGTAAGAATTTTCTTTCCAATTTAACCATAGTCTAGTCTACAGCTGAGACACTGAACAAAGATGAAAACCAGATTTGAAGAGTAATTTCTGCATTTTAGTATGACACAAATTGGATTAAAGAAGAAACACATTCAAAGAAATGTTTTGACTAATCTTTTCCAAAGATGTTCCCAAACTGCCTAACTATGACACCCAGAAATCAGATGTGATTTGAAAGCCAGATGGCCCTGAATGTACGGTCACTCTGATCATATGCAAGAGCACATTAGGGACCTAGTTTGGGACATCTGCTTGTTACTGGGTAAAATTTTGCTTACATCCTGTGCTTCAGGACCTGCTCCAACACGTACTTCTCAATGGAAGTCAAACCCCACCCTACTGAGACAATAGTCTAACATGCTTTTCTCTTTCTAAATCAGTAGTTGTGGCTTAAGCAGACATCTCCTTTCCCTCCTCCTGTACCTATCCCACTTCATTCTCATGCCTGCACACACTTTCAGCAGTTTAAGACTGCTGAGTTGTGCTGGAGAATGAGAAGTACCCTTATTAAAGAAATAGAGAAATAGCTTTTGGTTTTTTTACTAGCTCAGTTCTGTTTTATTTCATGGCTTTAGAGATAGTTGTGCTGGTCTAGAACTTGTCACTATACGTTACATACTTTCTACTATTCTCATGGTATTGTTCAAATAATTTTTATATCTCTGATTTTAAAAGTCCATCAAAAATCATGAACTCTTGCAAAAATAGCATTAGTGAAGAAGTCCTGAGCTACTGTGCTGACACTGATCTGAATATGAATCATGGGCTGGACCATAATTTTGTGCCATTTTTCCCAGCTTTAAAATGTGAAAAATACACATTCTTCTACTGACACATTGATAAAGACACTAGTGGTAAAAAAGGTAAAGTGCTAAATAAATGCAAAAATCTGTTGGATTTTGTTGTGACTTTTTTCAGAAGAAAAACTTTCTGACAAACTTCAGATGCAGGAATTGAGGCACTTACAGCCATTATTTGCTAAAGGGACTTAACAAGCAAAGTTGCACTTTTAACACAGCTATGGCATAATTGCTTTAATGGACTCTTTAAGCACTAAACCCTGATTCTCTCAAAAGAAGGCCCCAGTTTTGATTTTATGCATACCATGGATCCATACTTAGTGGTAGATTGTTATTGATTTGAAAGCCCTGCTAGTGTGAACATCAGTAAGTCTAATTAATAAGACCCAAATAAGATTTTTATGGAGGTATGTTTCAGACTGGTTATTTCAGCTAAGCTACTGTGGTTTCTTGCAATGAACCTAGTACTTGTAATGAGTGAGTTCACTAATTTGATATCACAGGCTGTAATTTTCTGTGTTTAGGTTTATTTGCACAAAATACTTATGTGAGGTCTTAGGGAGCATGAGAATAACTTAAAAAGGAATCTCAATTTGATGCAACCATCCGAGTACGCACTGTGAAGACAGAAGTACCAATTTTAGAGTTAACATGAATATGTATGATGCTACTGTGAATTCTAGTGTGTACAAATGGGAACAGATATACCTCACATCTTAGGTGTTACTAAAATTAGAAGGTCTTTCTTTGGGAATGCTGAGAAGGCAGTTTCCCCCCCTCCAGCTGGGCAATAGGAATGTAAATATATTCTCTACATGACTGTAGAGAACACAACATTGTGCTGTTCAGTGATGTCTTGTACTCTGCTGGGAGGTCAGTATTCACAGTGGCAGTCAACAGCCACTGCAGGTAGTGGCTTTTGAATAAAAGGTCATGTTTTTCAATAACCTTATTCTGACTGAAAGCCTGAAAGCTTCTTGGAACTTCTTGATCTCTGCAGTATAAAACCAGAATTAAATGAGAAACAGGAGTTCGACAGGTAGACACACAGCCTGCAAAAATCTCTTCAGGATGCCAATTTCCCAGTTCACTTAAGACCTGGAGAGAAACCCTAGCCCAGCAGAAGTTGGTGTGAGTTTTCCATTGACTTCAAGAGATTCAAGATTTATCCTTGATATTCTAAGAATAAAATCTATGAAGTCCACCTCTCTCTAGGTGTTCTGAGAGTTTATTGTTACCATAATGGAAGTCAGCACTTCCCCCACAGGGCTGAGTAAAAAGCATTCCAGCTGTGTAAGAATTAGACCATACAAATAGGGGTTTTCAGGCAGATGGAATCACAGTCCACAGTCCACAGCTCTAATTCCATATTAGCATGTTTTGTAAAATCCAAATTCCAGATTTGTTTTATTCCTTTTAAGCCATTCTGCATTCCCTATCTGGAACTCAGTACAGTGCAGATGGGATTCATCTCACCTGGCTTTACATTATCACAGCATGAGTCCATGCTGGTTACTTCAGCTGCATTTTTCTCTGTGAAGCACAACAGACACTTTCAGAGTGCAGTTCACCTGGTCTGTTTAGATGCAGGAAGAGACTCAAATGATCCCGATAAAATTCTTGATCTGCCTTCAAAGGGATGGCAAATCCATGGCAGAAATCAACTCTCTGAATGGTACTTTGGCAGAGTATCTAAGTCATTATTCATTCTGCTCCTTCTGCTTGCACTTAGAGTTGTGCTGCTGGATAAAGCCAGAGTCACCAAGTACGTCTCTATGAATAAAGATGGATGATCATTGGTTTGCTGATTGTTTTGGCACAACCTGGAACTTCCTTTCACTAGAAGAACATTCTAAAATGTAAATTAAAATGTACATCAGTAAATTAAAATCTACAAACCTCAATAATTTCAAATTATACAAAAAACACACATATACACATGAAGGAATCTCAAAATAAACAGTTCTTTCAAACAGAAATGTTTTGAAAGTGAAATGCTTTGGTGTTAAAAAGTGGTTTTAGCCACTGTTTTTTAAAATCCAGTTCTGCATTTGCAGAGCTGACTGGAGCTTCAATTCTACACATATCCACACAACACTCTATAATTAGGAATCAACCTATCCTGCTCATCTACAGGAACCAATCCTGTAGGTATCTAGATCATGTCATGGGCCTCAAAATGGACAGTAGGAACTTGTACAAAGTTTTTAATTACCATTGCAGTAGTTAGGGTATTCAGTGGTGACTCATATATGGGACCCTTCAGTTATAAGCAGTCATTTACAGATAGTAACTTCCAATATAAAAAGCTGAAAGAGGTTCACCTTAGAAACCGCAATTTTATAGTGCTTACACTTCAGACATGTGCTTTTCAATCAGTGTTTTGAATGACACCGCAACTTTCAAAACAGCCCTCAACTTACTAGTAGAGTGCTCTAAACGTTTGGTTAGTGGTCAAACCAGAACATGCAACATATGGGAGAGTATCTGTGTAACATTCCCATTGGAAAGGTATGTGGCCTGGCAAAGGTTCCAAACTCCCAGGGAATGTTCACAGCTGACACTCTTGGCCAAAGAAGTCCTTTCCGAGCAGCATTAAGTTCAGGCGCAGCGCCTCCTCCTCCTCAGCATGTTCCGCTGAGCTGCCGCGATGGTTCCTGCTCAGTTCCAGTAAATATGTTATTTCTCCATGCATTTCCTTGAAGCGCTGGGCCTTACAGGAACGGGGGGCGCCGGGCGGGCGTGGCTGGGCGAAAGTGACGCCGCCGTGTCCCGGCCATTGGCCGTGCGGGAGGTGTATCCCGCGGCCGGCTCGCGGTTGGCTGCCGCGCGGGGCGGTGGCGCCGATGGACATCGGCCGGAGGAGGGGTCGGGACTGTCCGGCCGTGCCTCTCGCTGCCCCGCTGCCCGAGGTAGGTACGGCGCTGCCCGGCGCTCCCGGTGTCAGCGAGCGCTGCCCGGTGCCCTCCGCCCTCCCGCGGCCGATGCCGCCCTCTCACATCTCTTCTGCCCCTGCCCGAGTCCGCTCCATTGCCTGTCGCTGCCGCTATCCGTGGGATTTTTTTTCCCTCCCGTTGCTGTCGGGAGGCCCCTCGCTGTGCTGCTCGGCGCTGTCTCAGTCCCAGTGATGCTCGGGGTGGTGCGAAGCGCACCCGGCACGGGCGGTGAGGGACCGGCGCGGTGCGGACCCGCCGTCACTTGGCGTGCTGGGGAGGCCGGGGAGAGTTACCCAGCGCTGCAGGCTTGGAATGCTGAAGTTACTTTCACTTTTACAACGGGACGTGGTTATCTCTGTGGCTGAGCCTGAGCACACACCGGGAGGCATGCAGAAGAGCTTCTGGCCTGCCAGAGATCACCAGGCTGTTTGCTCACAGCCCTGACTCGCACTGTCTCCGGGCAGGGCAGTGCACTTCCCCTGGCAACAGGCGCTTCTATTCTTATGGGACGCCTCTGTGTGAGGGAAATTTGCTTCACTGCAGGTTTGGGTATGAGATACAGTGTATTGGTATGAGCTGCTCTTATTGTTACATTTTAGTGTGCAATTATAGTGACATGGCGTGTCAAGGCTTCCTCGTTTTTGAGGTATTGACATGCTCTTTGAGGATCCTCCTATTATACTGAAAAGCAGTGTCACAAAATAACTCCTACTTCTGTACAGTAACCTCTGCTGGTAGACATATCTAGCTATCCTAGGAAGACCACATTTGGAGCTAATGTAGCATAGACTCTGTGCTTCTGTTCACACCTCCCTTCGTGTGCCAGTTTTTCTGTTTCAGCAAGCCTGGAGTTAAATAGGACCTCTTAAGTCTTTAGGTGTATACAGATTTTACAAGTTTGAGGCATGAGGAAGAACAGGACTTTCCAAGCGATTTGGATGCAGAGGTTAATGTAATTATCAGTTAAGATTGAGTTGAAAACAAAGTTCACATTTTTGAAGTCTCTATCTTTGAGATCCACATCTTTTAATTGCATAAGTATTTGAACTCCTTAGGGTCCCTAATATTTGGTGCTGGACCTGAGCAGAGCCCCTGGTATTTACAGGAGAGCTAGGTAGTGGCACATATGCTTCACTGGTAGTGAAGAGGAGGAGACATAAAATAAAGGGATGTTCCTCTGCAGTGGGAATCTGTCCTTATGAAGGTTTTCCATTTTGCATAAAATTTGCGCTAGGGCTCCTGGCCACACATATGGTGACTGCTGAACAGTAGTTATGGTCTTGATCTTCTCTTCCATTTTTGGCTCATGTAAGAATTAGTTATGTAAAAATACTTAGTGTTGGTCTTACATATTGGGTTTTCTCTTTTAATCAACTACTTGCATTATAGCCTGTATCCTGCTTTCTTTCTGTGTGTTTGTTACTTCTGACTGTTTGTGATACAAGCCTTTGATAAGTATTTGACCTTTGCATGTTTATGGTGGCAAATGAATGTAGTTGGTAACTTTAAGTTTCCAACATTCTTTTTCAACCTTGTAATTAAAAACTTACTGAATTGAACACATTAAAAACCTTCCTTTACAGTAGTAAAAACAATCAGTGAAATTGAAAATTTGTCTGTAAGGACAATCTACCAGACCAAGATGCAAAAAAGTATACTGAAAGTAAATTCATGTCTCACAAAAGTAGGGTGTAAATAGAGTATAAAGTATCTGGTTTGTGTTTTACAGCAGATGCTAGAGGAGACCAGAACTTTTGCACAAAAAATATTTGAAGCATACATACACGTTCATGTATTATTTTATTACTTTGTCTTTGCTGCCATCAGGCTTTACCATGCTCCGAGCCTTTAGTCACACAAATGGTAGGTGTGTGTTCCACCATACTAAGTGCTGGCATCATCGTAAGTCTGTGCTGGCAATCAGGAGAGAAGATGTTAATGCATGGGAAAGAAGAGCACCTCTAGCACCAAAGCATGTTAAGGAATTGACAAAGATGGGATATAAGGTCTTGGTGCAGCCATCAAACCGGAGAGCCATCCATGAAAAGGTAAGGTCCCATTTTGAGAGAGATAAGCAAAACCATAGTTCAGATGTTAACCATAGTACAGGAAAAATAATACTCAGAGGTTATTAATGAGAAAACATATGAAGAAATAAAACATAAACATGTAAATTTTGTTGTTAAATGAGGAGTCATTATGTGCTAGTAGAAAGAAAAAGGAGTCATTTGTTTAGCCTTTTAATGTACTGTTAACACAGTGGTGGTGTTTTGGAGTTGTTTTTATTAATTTCTTGTCCTGTCATCAGTCTCCATAGAAGTTCTAGGTGTTCTTGAAGTAGAAGCTTGTGAATTCATTTAACATTGGTGTTTTTTGTCTTCTGTTTGTATGAAGGCAACAGCTCTAAAAACCCATATTTTTTTAAAAGAACAAATCTGGTGAATCCCATTCTTGCTTCAATCCCATTCCTCATGTAAAATGAGAAGAGAGGGTTTTTTTTCTTTAGCGCAGTGAGCTTGAGGACAGAGAGCTTTTACAGTTCTTGTAACAGCAGTAATACTTAGCTGTAAGATATCTGAGAAAACAAAAATTGAAACATCAGTAGGGAATTAGTTATCACTTGGACATATCACCTTTTAATTAGGGCACAGTGCTAGTTTTCACCAAAGCACAGATCATACTATGGAAAAACATTCCTTCAGAAGTTACTCTTCAGCTTGGACTTAGCCTTATACAATTTTATAAAATCATATGTCATCAGTCGTCAGATTAATTTGTCATATTTCTCTAAATTATTTCCAAGTATTTTAGCACATTATAAAAGACTGTTCATTACTGCAATACTATAGGATACTTTAAATTTAGTAAAATATAATTTTTGTAGTATTTTTTACATTTAAGATTAAGGATTTTAATAACGCATAATTATGTTTGACCTTGTAAAATAGGATAATAGCATGATAATTTGATACTTGATAACTCTTTAAAGAGATTTATGAATATATCACATGCAGTAATTTGTTTCTGCTTTGTAGAATTATCAACTTTTCCTCTACTTTAGTTGCTTATATGCTGAGATCTGAATATGAAAAAGCACAGAAAAATTTACTTTGATTTTTCTCTTTCCTAGGAGTACATCAAAGCAGGTGCCATCATTCAAGAAGATATTTCTGAGGCTTCTCTGATAATAGGTGTGAAGAGACCTCCAGAGGACAAATTGATCCCTAAAAAGAACTATGCCTTCTTCTCTCACACTATTAAAGCCCAAGAGGCAAACATGCCCCTTCTGGATGAGATTTTAAGACAGGTAAATTGTACCATAGTAAAGACCATTGGCAGCTATTATGAAGTGGAAACTGGACCTAGTGCTTAAGTGTGATCAAGAGCTTGCTGCATAGTACAATTCTTTCAGCATGTGCATTCTGGTAGTGCATTTGGCTAATGAAGACTGTTTTTGGTATCCTTTCCTGAAGATGAGTATTTCTTGCTCATAGAATCTTGTGCTTGCAGTGTTACTCTGTTCATGCACATAAGGCAGGTGAGTTGTGAGCGTGGTGTGCTCAAGAGGAGCTCTTTCTATCTGAGCACTAAGAGTTGTTGGAAAGTTACTAAGCTGGAGTGTGTATTGGTTGTTACAGAGGAAGGCAGCCAGTTCACGCAGAAATGAGCAACCTTTTGGCAGAGGATATGAATGGGCCTGCAGCATCTGGAGTGGCATATTGGCAAGGTCTGTGCCAGAGGGCACAGGCAATGCAAAGACTCTTTTAAATAAGAATTCAAGGCAACCATTATGTTTTTATTTTTATACTTAAATCTTCTTGTGATTTGGTTACCTTTCTTATATTACCCATCAACCTCTATCACGAAGGATGACAAAGGCATGTGAAAAGGTAGTTCCTGGGAGAGCAATGTGCCACTGACTGCATTCACTGAAAAATTTGATTCTCAGTTTGCTGTGTATTTTCAGGAAATTCGACTGTTTGACTATGAAAAAATGGTTGATCATAAAGGAATGCGAGTTGTGGCCTTTGGAAAGTGGGCTGGTGTAGCAGGTATAGTGCATAAAGTAAAGGCAGGCTTGCAACAAGTAACTTCTCATAATACTTCTGGTTGTTCTGTGTTTCCTAGAAGTTGAGACTTGCAGTGTGTTTTTAACTGCATTTTTAATTCTTGCTTTTAACAGCTTTTTTCCACTCTGGTTTGTTCTTCCTACTTTCATGAGACTACACGTCAAATAGTCCTGTGAATTCCTGACAAATCTGATATCTTATGTTGTCTTGAAGTCCTGTTTGTCCATTGAACTAATCTGGAGCAGACTAAATATCAAGAGATCAACTTACTAGGTTTTTGGAAATAGAAGGCTGCTGTCAGTCCTGAGAGCTTTACAGCATCTGTTTGTCACTCTGTTATACACTTACGCTTATTTTTGTGGGGCATGGTTCTCATTCCTTTCTACTGAACTTTAACTCTGTTTCTTCAGAAGACTCTTATCTCCTTCTTTGGAATCTGGTGATGTGGATGCATCTCATAAAAGGATATCTGAGTATTAAATAGTACTGAAATGCATAAGGTGGGCCATGAGCAGGTTTAAGGTCATGGACTGCTATTGAGTTTCTTCTTCTCTGGTTTTATTAGACTTTCTGTAGAAGTAAAGCACAATATTAAAACATGGGAAAAAGATCTAGTATGGTTTTAGGCTTCAGTCAGTCTCTTCAGTTTCTAACTGCGTATTCGTAATTAACACTGATGGTCTGAGATTTATTTTTTTTTAACAACAGGAATGATCAATATTCTACATGGATTAGGTTTACGATTTTTAGCCCTGGGACATCACACTCCCTTCATGGTAAGAGTATATGTGTATATATTTGTCTTTAGCAAAATGACATTTGGGCATCTGCTAATTATCTGTATTTGAATGTGTGCAAACATCTTGATGGTTTTGTGCCTTTGATTTCAGCACATTGGGATGGCACACAACTACAGGAATAGCAGTCAGGCTGTGCAGGCAGTACGAGATGCCGGGTATGAAATTTCACTGGGATTGATGCCAAAGTCAGTGGGGCCCTTAACATTTGTGTTTACAGGCACTGGTAATGTTTCTAAGGTAAGAATTGTCTTCAAAATGAAATGCCATATTATTGTTAATAGAAATCCCTGGCATTTGATAAATATCAGGTTAAATGGGCTGATGGCTTTATTTTGATTGCTTGGACTTCACATTTTCCTTTTCTAGTAAGATTTTTTAAGTAACATAAACTAAAATGTTTAAGGTGAGATCATACCTGACAAGGCTGACACACTAACTTCTTATCATGAAAATGGATTAAATCTTGCTGCTTCTCTCTCATTTCCCCCCTGCATGATTTCTGTCTCTGTTGACTCTGGGCTCCCAAGGTATGTTGAAGCACCCGATTAAAGTGTGGGGAAAGAGTTATTTTTTTCTAATACTCACTGACCTTTTGTATCTGTATAGCATTGAATTGACCTACCGGACTTTAGAGCCATTTTCTGTGACGTGGGAAAAAAGGCTTACTCCTGGCCTTGGCAACAAACATCAGTTAACAAGGCTCCATCTATAAAGTGAAATCACTGACCACATAAATATGTTCTTTCTAGACAAAAAGATGGTGTGTTTGAAAGGCTTGTGTTTGTGATCACAGCTCACTGGGGAAGTTGTCTGGTAGTGCTTGGCCTTTTTGATGAGGAGTGGCCTCAGGGGTCTTCCCTAAAGAGAAACTGCTCCTCAGAGTGGCTGTTAAACCATCTGTTGTGGCTGAGTTGAGGCCTCCCAGCTCAGCCATTAGAAATACGAACTAGGCATTGGATTGTGTATTAGGCAATCTGCAGTAGTGGGGAACAATGTAAATTTCTTGCTGCCCGTGCAGCTTGGTTTTGGGTAAGCAGGGGTATATGCGAAACAGTGTGTACATCTCTGAAGATGTTCTCTGGCAGGACTGTCAAACTGTGTGTGGCATTTTTATATGTTTTCAAATATCAAATAAGCAGTGTTACATTACATTTATGGTCTGCTTATTCTGAATCATACTTCATGGTTTCAGGGTGCTCAAGAAATGTTCAACGCCCTCCCATGTGAGTTTGTGGAACCACATGAGTTAAAGGAAGTTTCCAGATCTGGAGGTAAGCTGTGACAACAAAGCGTTTGAAAACACTGGAACCCTTTTTGTGCAAGTATAACAGCTATTTTATTTTTTTTTTAACTTCAGACATCAGAAAAGTCTATGGGACAGTGTTAAGTCGTCACCATCATCTTGTAAGGAAACATGATGGAATATATGATCCAGTAGACTATGATAAACATCCAGAAAATTACACTTCTCGCTTTCACATTGATGTGAGCATCTCTTCTGTCCGAACCATCTCATTTATGAAAGGTTTTCTGTAGAGTGTTAGTGGTTACTATACTTTTGCATATTCATCATTTGAGAGACCATTAACTTAAAATGCTAGACCAGGTGCTCTTAGCTTCCTAAAGTACTAGATAAGAACATCAGGCATCTGTAACTTTCTTTGCAGGTTGCACCCTACACAACTTGTTTAATTAATGGCATATACTGGGAGCAACATACTCCTCGCTTGCTAAGTCGACAGGATATTCAGAAGCTGCTGGTGCCAATTAGATCTGCTGATGGTGCAACAGAGGGCTGTCCTGAGTTACCACACAAGTAAGACACCTCATTTCACCATGTAGCACCATGATTAAGTCGTAAGGCTAGGCAATTTCACCACAGCTTTTAGTAATTATGTTTCTTTCATTTTTCTTCCTGCATGTTTTTCAGTGCCCCATTGATTGTGCTTTTGTTCTTTTGTGCTTTGCAGTCTTGTTTTCACAGTTTGGAGTTTTTGAAAACATCATAGTAGAAATGATTGACAGGCCTCAGCTGTCTTTCTGCAGAGGTAGTTCTGCCCTTGATCCTTGTACATAATCCAATACAAACAGTGTGGTGTTTGGGAATGTACCTACTGCTCCAATATTGCTAGAAGTTTCCCTGACTGAGCAGAGTTTTTGGGAAAGTTCTTCCTACCATGTCATTTAGCTTGTACAAGTTCAATTAACTGTTCCTTAACACCTCTTATTTCTGCAGCACATAGTGGAAATGTTCATAAGCCTGAGTAGCTTTAAGAATGGAGTGTGGGGAGCAAATCAATGGTTAGTCTCCTTTCATTGGGGCTGGGGGCCATCCTTTGTGTAATAGCCCTGTGTAATAGTTCTCTGGGAGACTGGCTTAGTCATGGAATTGGGGAGGACATGTATTCTGGTGAAGAATCAGGTCTTTATCTCTTGTCTGCCCACTCTTGACACCTTTCTTTTTCAGGGACTGCTTGAGGGAATTGGCAGATGGATAATGAATGAGAGGTGTTGGCAGCACACGGCTTAGAGAGAAAAGATGATGGATTAACAGATTCTCCCAGTCTTTGACACTTTACACATGAATTATGAGTTCTGTTGATGTGAATGCAAATCTGATGAGTACAGTAGGGCCAGATTTCCATTACATTTCCAAATATCATTGTTTGTGCTAGTTGACTTCTAAATTGGTTAAGATGAATGAAGTTACAAGTCAGATACATATTCTCACATTTCTTTTATTTCCTGCTTACTTGTGGCCTTTTATACCTATCTTTCTTAGTAATTAGTATAATGCCTTGTTCCATTGTCTTTTTTGTTTAATCACTTTAGACTTCTGGCAATATGTGACATTTCAGCAGACACTGGAGGATCTATAGAATTTATGACGGAGTGTACAACAATTGATAATCCATTTTGTATGTATGATGCTGACCAGCATATTACTCATGACAGGTGGGAGAGCCCTTACTTTTTATTACTTTCCAATGTAATTTGTGCAGTGAAACATTATATTGAAAAATCATGTGCTTAGAACAGTTCTGAAAGGTGGTACCTTTCAGTTACCAAGAAGTAGTTTAGAAGAGCTGTGTTCTCTCTTTCAGTGTGGAAGGCTCAGGGATTCTGATGTGTTCCATTGACAATTTGCCAGCTCAGCTTCCTATAGAAGCAACAGAGTACTTTGGCGATATGCTTTTCCCGTATATAGAAGAGATGGTAAGGTCCTATGTGTCCAACAGGAAGGTAAAAGACTTGGACTTTGGTCTGCTTGTTTGCTGCCTTTCTGGTCTCCTGTATACATTGGAATCTGCTGTAGAACATAACTGACTTTATACTTCAAAAAAAAAAAGAAAAAAGGTTTTGAAGCCAATCCTTTCAAACACAATATAGTCCAAACTATCACAAATATGAATGAGACATCAATGACATGGATGTCTTAGGGATTTGTCAAGAACACTTTCTGTAGGCAGGAAACAGGCTCTGGCAGGTAGTTCATTGCTTCTGGACCCTGCAGTAGATGTCTAAATCTGATTTTCTTGGACATCCAACATTCACTTAAAGTCAAACTGCTGTTTGAATTCCTGTATTTTCCTAAAAGTCAAGTGACAATGATTGTAGCCAGAAGAATTTCAGATTTATAAGATATTCATATTGTTGCATGCATTTAAATGTTACTTGAAATCTTGATGTTTTACTTTGAAAAAATAATGGGTAATAAATGACCTGATTTGAAATAACTTATCTCCACAGCTGTTATCAGAAGGCTCAGAACCTCTTGAAAAACAGAATTACTCACCTGTTGTTCGAGGTGTAAGTTTTTCAATTTGGCACTCTTCTTGTCTATCTTCTGCTTTGAAATACATAGATACATAAGACCCTCAAAATTTGTTTCATATACTTTCAGGCAGTGATTGCATCCAACGGTTCACTGACACCTAAGTATCAATATATCCAGAAACTGAGAGAGAGCAGGTAATTTATAACTTTTTAAACGCCCCCCCCCCATCTGCATTCTGTCTCCACTTTTGCTTTTATTGACTCTTGTGTTTTAGTGGAATGCATCTATATTGCATTGTGTCTAAATTTGATGCTTGATGATTTCCCTAATTCTTCATGCACATTGCCTAAAACATTAACATGTGTTGATAACTTCTACTGAAGTTGAGAAAACTGTCATTTTTCTCTTTCTTGAGTTATGAAAACTTTTTTACCAGAGAGCTGCAGAAAACAGCCACATACTAGTATTACTCTGTAACTCCTTGTCCTTTTGAAATGGATGTAACATACAGTCATGTGAAAGGAATGGCTGAAAGCAAAAGGCTCTTAAATATACCTTGAATCTAGTTACATCTTGTATGGCTCAAGTGCTGTGATATGTAGCATTGTTCTGTGACTGAATGTACTCAGGAGATTCTGTGGAACTCTCAGACTTTTCATTACATTCCTGTAGCTACAGCTTTAGCTACTACTTCATCCAAACCCTGTCATAGTAGTTATCTGCCAGTGGTATCATTGAGTGGATTAAGCTAACAAAAACATAAACAACATGGATATCCCTTCCCTTCCCCTTGCTCCCTGCTGTTAACAAGCATCTATAGCTTACCTATGAAAAATGTTAATTTGACAATAAGTGGGTACCTCTGGCTTCAAGTTCATGGTCAATGACAGCTGCACTGTACATAATAAAAAACTTTATATTGGTCTGACCATAATGCACGACTGCATGCATTATGCACTAAAAGCACAATGTGTATTGATTTCTACATCCCAAACTTCTCCAATTTCCTCAGGCAGCTTTGAGACTTGTGGTTATGAATTTGTTTATGATGAACTATAGGTGCATTTTCCACACAAAGTAACATGCTGTTGGCTTCTCAAAGACTTTAGTTCACAATGATTTTTGTTATGTGCTGCTTGATAGACCCCCTCAAGAGGCTGTCTCAGTAGCAAATTTTCTTATTCCTCATACAGTGCAATGATCTGATTTTTTTTCTTCCTCCATAATCCCTTGCTTGGTCTTGGGTGAACTACTCTGAGAATCTGGAGACTTCATTGCAAAGGGGGTTTTTGTGGGCAGATTTTTTATATTTCTGCAGATCTGTGTGTTGTATGTGATGTTTATTTGTTCATTGGTGGTGTTCACTTAGCTGATGGAAAAGTAGAACCTGCTAACAATACCTACCTTTACTTTGCAAACTTTGGAGATCTACTTAAATTTATTTATTAAGAGTAGTAGTAGTTTGGTTGAAACAGTCTATGATGGTTTGCAAATCTGAATCCTTGTCTGCAATGATGATTTCTTAATTGGGCATTAACTTTTATTTGGCTTTTATTGTCTATCATGTTCCTGTGATGGACCAATATGAACCTAGTATAACTTACACAAAAACACTTTCACCAGAATGGTTTTGCATATACTTTAACAGTTACCTGTGATGTAAAGGGAGCAAGACAGAGACTGAAATCCCTTTCTGACAGCCCAGCATGACATAGACAGCTTGGTGGTCCTCATGTGATCAGATTACAGGAATTTGGGCATTGGAAAAGACTGAGGAAAATTTTGATGAACAACCATTAACAACTGGAGAAGCAGAAGAGATGCTGATGAATTGGTCATGTTTATGTTAGAGGAAAGAAATTAGAAGTTATGCAGCAGAAGAATGGAAGAAGTACTAGATGGTCCTGGATCAGTTAATTAGGAACTTGAGTCTTGGTCTGAAGAGAGCTCTTGATTTGTAGACTTGTTAAAACATACTTCTTCTCTTAACCTTAGCAGCTTACAGTTTCCTTCTGTGTGGTTTTTAATTTTGCCTGTAACACCTTCTAGGGAACAGGCTCAGTCACTAAAGATGGGTGATGAGAAGAAGGTTTTATTGCTCGGATCTGGGTATGTTTCTGGCCCTGTACTTGAATATCTCACTAGAGATTCCAACATTGGCATCACAGTTGGTATGTAAGAATTTGTTTATTTTCATTACAAAATTATGTCTTACTGAAACCTGCTGTTGTGGCAGAACCTTTCTCATAAATAATAAATGTATGTTGTTCTGAGAACAGATAAAGAAAATCTTTGTTATTATTCAAAGCAGAAAAGGATTTTATAGCTTTGTGAGCATTTTGGTTTTATATAATTGATTTGAAAATTACATAGCCATGTTAAAAGTTTACTGTTTGCATGTGTAACCTGTAGGGAAATTAGAAGTACTTTTTCCTGCTTTGGGCTTGGGATTGATTTTGTAGCCAGTCAGTCAGTTGGTGTTTGGCTGTGTTTTCAGTCTCAAATAACAAGAAGCTGAAAATGTTTTTATAGACATCTGTATGAATGAAGTCTTTGCTGTTGTTATAACCAGTGTCATGATGGTAAAACTTCAGACTCTGACCTTCCAATGAGACACATGTCTGCTTCTTTGTTCCTCTGTTTTGGTTTTCTCTTTAGCATGTTTCAGGCTGAGGAATCTCAGTAACTAGTTTCTGTACTCTTAATGATGACTTTATCCTGATTCTGTGACTTCAGATTTAAAACAAAGTCTGTATTGCCTGAAAGATACTTTGCTGGGAAGTGGTTTAGCTTAAAAGTTATGGTTGTATTTCTGATGATTTTTATTGTTGCTTTGGTTCGGTTTTTTCCCTTCATGCTGTTTTCATACTTGGCTTTGGTACCCTTCATGATGATAACCATAGTACTTTTAACCCTGGGAGAAGATTTACCAGGAAGAAGAGGGGAACTCTAAGAAAGCTGCACCGTGGTTATCAGTATTGCCTGAGGTGGTGAACAGGGAAGGATTACAGCAATGTGCGGTGAACATCCCCTCACCAGTACAGAGGCTGCATCTAGCTCCTGCAATACGGTAGCAGGAAGGGAAACTAGGTGAACTGGAAGATCTGTTTGGCCAAGCACTGAGCAAACATAGGAGGTGCCTCTTATCTGGGTAGCTTAAAAACATGCAGTTTCTACAGCACACACTCAGAAGGAAAGAGACACAAAGATATTACTTGTTTAATATTTGACAGCAGGCAACTAGGTGCAGACAGCACAAAATGCACACCACAGTGCCATGTGTGGTTTCCTACTGTCAGGCTACACCACTTTAAATCCAAATTTTGGAAACCTTAATTGGAAACCTTCATGTAATCAACTTTTTTTAGTTTGAATTTGTAAATGATTTTACCTAGCACTTTTTCTTAGCACAATTTTATTAGTAGGGTATAGAGAATCACCGTCCAGCAATCCTTATTTCCCCCCTGAGTGTGGAAAGGTCATAAGGAAATAAGGCCCTAACTTAGAGGCACAGATGCTTTTAATTCTCCATAACCCTGTGCTCCACCTGCTTCCTTCTTTGACCACTCCTTATTGCTGGCTGAGTTCCCTCTGTTTTGTGCTGGCAGTGTGGTGAGCTGGGGCAGGAAACCAGTCAGATGTGGTAAATACTGGCTGTGTTATTGTGGATCTCTTTTTCAGTTTTGCTTTCCTTAAAATGGGAGGGAAGTGAAGACAGGCAGAGACTGGATTTACCCTGTTTAGTTACAATATTATTGTAATCATGATTGGTAGGACTAAGCCATAGGGAACTATTAAAACTAGTCAGATTGAATCTGGGCCTTTTAGTAATATTTGACCTAAGCTAAAGCATAATGCTCCTATCTTTATTATGTTAAAAATGGTAAATGATGTGAATTGGTTTTGCTTTCAATTATTAAACTGTTCTTCGTTGTAAATAGGAATTCTGTTATAGTATATTGAAACAGAATTTTGGAAAGATTTCTTTTTAAAACAGATTTATCTATAAATGTATGGCTATGTAGAATGAAGGATGGAGTAAGTTTTTCTGAGCACGTGTTTGTTTACTAAATCTGTTAGTTAGCTGCATTTGAACTTGCATGTTCGTCTAGTCCTTGAAACTCATTAAGGTTTTGCTGTCTCACTTAAGTCAAACAGAGCCTGAAAAAGAAAAATAAATTTTCCTTTTTGGGCTTTTTTCCCTCCTGGACTTCTAGTCAGCTTCTTGCTTTTCAGTGAAGTAGTCTGAGCCTTTGCAGAAATAGATACTACAATCAAAAACTGATTGAATACTTCACCTCTGAATTTAATTGGCCAGGTTAGAGAAGTAACTGTTTTGGAACCAGACAAAAATGTGTACTACATAGTGACCTAAACTACTTTAGGGCTCAAGATAAGTTGTTACACTAATTGAAAATGGTTGTTTTCTGGCAGGATGATGCTAGTCCAAACATGGTTTTTAAACATGTTGGGCACACAATTTTTCTGCTGCAATCTTCCCTCAAGAGTCAGTGCAATACAGTATTTCAGTAAAGTGGAAAAGAAGGGAGATAACTTGTAGTTTTGTGTGAATAATTTGTGTTGACTTAATCTGCTGATAGGAAAACTGCAGTTAAAACTTTTGTCAAGTACTCCCACAAAGCTGCTAATAAATTGCAAATCTGTTCTCATTACACAATTTAGCAGTGAGTGGTTCTTTACTTCTGAGAGTAAGTATTCCTTGTAGATTCTTATTCTTGAGTTATAACTGTTTTGACATGATAATTGATAAGAAAATTGACTATTTAGGGTAAGTAAAGTGCTTTATGCCTGATTTCTCATAAACTGTTAGTGAAGAAAAACATCCATGCAACTTTGGGAAATATAGCACAATTATACATGGGTGTACTTAGGACTTAAATTCCTCTTTAGGTAATGGTTTATGCATTTTACTTTTAAAACAGTATCTGTCATGAAGGAGCAACTTGAACAACTGACAAAAAAATACAGCAATGTTACTTCAGTTCATATGGATGTTCTTAAGAACGAGGGAAAGCTGTCCTCTCTGGTGAAGAAACATGACCTTGTGATCAGGTCAGAATTCTATGTAAAACATGATGGGCTCAAAATTAAGTCATGATGCTTCTTTCTCCTAGTTGACTGATCTAAATCAATACAGTAACTTTTTTTTTTTTTTAATGTCCAAGGACTGGGGTCATATTTGTAAATGTAAGTAGCTGTTACTGACCAGTACCTTCTCATGTAGCAAGGCATCAGGACTTTAAAAGGGTTTTTGTCTGCAACATCTCTTCAGAAGTGGTCACTAGTTAAGTGGACTCCCTTCCACAAACATTTATGTGAGGGGCCAGTTGCATCCACAAGTATATGTGTCCCTGGGATCAAATGTGCATGTTCATAAGAGGAAGCAAAATTCTGACACCTTGGCCATTTCTCCTGAATATCCCATTAAGAAAGAATTAATGCCAGGTATTGATACAGGGAAGGAAATAACTTAATAGTCCTTGTGTTTCTTTTGCCATGGATGTCATGAGTGTTGTTTTCATTCCATGTAGAGCATGGAATGAAGTACTTTCACGAACTACTTTATCAAGAGCATTGTAATGCAAACTTTCACAGGTGTGGTTTTGCAGCCATGCCTGTTTAGAAGGTGGCTTTAGAAAGAGGTCAGTGGTTTGTGTTTTACATAGAAGTGTGACAAAAGATGGTGTTTCAAGAATGACTCCCCTATTATTTGGTGCCCTGATCTGAGTGCATATAATAATGCTGTAGCATTTAACTTATGTAGGTATGAAATTGCTCAGGATATGACTGTCTTTTTGAGCTATTACTTGAGCTCTTTTGTAGGCATACAAAAAACATTTGTGTCTTTCTAGTGACAGCATAAGTAAGTGGTTGAATTTTGATGTTGCATAATTCTCTTTCATTTGTAGTTTGCTACCTTATTCAGCACATCCTTTCGTTGCTAAGAAATGTATTGAGAACAAAGTGAACTTGGTAACAGCCAGCTACTTAACACCAGCTATGAAAGAACTCCAGGAGAGGTAGGTGTGACAGTAGCATCTCCCTGGTTTTGCTTTCTTCTTTAGTGCATTATCTGAATATTTTGCAGTCTGTTACACCTGCAATGCTTGGTGTAAATTAGTGTTTTCTGCATTTTCAGTCCTTTCCTTTCTGTGCTGGAGGACTCAGTACCTTTCCCCAAAAATGCATGTGGCAGAGCAGAGCAAAGAGGGCATACCCCAACCTCATTATACTAGTGCTCTAAACACTGGAATGTACTTTCCTGCATTCATCATCTTATTTCATGTTAATGTGCCTTTTCCTCTCCCCTCAGACCTGTCAGGATCATCTGAAGTTTAAGTTGAGCAGCTGGGCTCTCCATTTCTAGCAGCAAGCTTGTTTGTCATCCTTTGCCTTCCCCTAATAAAAACTCATTCTTGGCTTATTGTATCTACAGTAATCTCCTTCTTCATGCCCTTCTTTTGGATAGGCACACTATATTATTCTCAAATTGGTGACAGCTCTAACTATTCTAATGTTTCTGTTGTCCTACTTACCATGTACTTGGAAATTGTTTTGGTATGGAGCTTCATCTCGGGGGTCCTCTTAGTCATGGTACCAGAAAATCTGAAGTACATTCAAGTGAGATGAGAACTGTACATGCTGTGTCTTCAGAAAAGATAAAACAGAAAAAGCTAGACAGATAGAGAACCAATATTGCAGACGATGAGAGAGATTTAGGGGCCTTCCTCCCCTTCTTGGCGAGGTCATGGCATGCTTTCAGAAAAAAAAAAAAAAGAAAAAAAGGCATTTGTCTCATTTGTCAAAACACAAAGTGATTTTGAAAATAAAATAAATCCTCAGTTTGTGGTGATAAGTGGGCTCCTCTGGGAGTGTCGGTAACTATTAGGAAAAAGAAAGAAAACCCTAATACTTTTAATTAAGGAAAGTAGACCTTTCAATCCCTCTCACCTGCAGGAGCTCTTCAGGGCAATTATGGCTATCTCTGTGCTACCCTCTGCATTAGTATCTTCCTGCATTATAGCACTGTCCAGGAGAATGTGGGATGTGGAGTAACTGGTAGGAATTTCTTTTTCCACCAGCCCCTAGGTCTTGCAGTGAAGTAAGAGAAACAAAAGTTAGAAAGCTCTTAGACAATTGTCACTGTTCAGGTTTCAGCATCTACTTCTGTTTTTTTTGTTTTCCACAAGCTGCTGATAGAGCCCAGAATTTACTTTGGGGAAGATTCACTGGGCCTTTGTTGGACAGATTTACAGAATAAAAGACCAGTAATAATGAATATTCTGATGGCTCTGTATTTCTGTTATTTTTAGTGTAGAAGCTGCTGGTATTGCAGTTGTCAGTGAAATGGGTTTGGATCCTGGTCTTGACCATATGTTGGCAATGGAATGCATTGACAAGGCAAAAGAAGTTGGTGCTACGGTAAGGTTAGCAAGTAGTTATGCAAAATTTCTGTTAGTAAAGTTGTTCTTTTAACCCCAGCTGAGGTATAACAGACTCTGGGCATTTTACTTTTTCTGGTGCTTGGAATTTGGTAGCTACTAATGTCTAACTGAAGTGTGACAGATGCTGGACGTTTTACTTTTTCAGCTATGATGGCCATGCCCCAGTGTATATGTTTTGGTTTCCTCTCCCTTATGAACAGTGTCTACAGTGGGATAGCTTAACACTGTTGCTTAGTGAAATTGTTTTGTTTTCCCCTCTTCACTGCAGATTCTTCTAATTTGGCCCATTTGGGGGATAATGTCAGCAGAAATTTTAAGAACTAATGGGGATTCTGCAGGGTAGCTCTGTGCTGTTTGCATCCTGGTTTGCCTTCTCTTCACTGTTTCTTTCCTGTGGATAAATCTGACAGGTTATATCCTACACTTCTTTCTGTGGTGGCCTGCCAGCTCCGGAGCATTCTGACAATCCTCTGAGATACAAGTTCAGCTGGAGTCCACAAGGAGTGTTGCTGAATACAGTTCAGTCTGCTACATATTTAAAAGATGGAGAGGTGAAGTAATGTGAACATTTTTATTTAAAGCCAGACAAAGAAGGTGGTATTGGGCTAAGGAGGGAATTGGGATTTTTAAGGTGCTATTTACTTTCAAGCCAGTGTCAGTCAGGTGCCTAAGCCAGTTGCGTACATCACTTAGTCCTATTATTTGGAGCATGATGGTGACTGGCTGCTACCAGCTTAATTCTTACTATGTGGAAACTGATTGCAAGGAGGGAATGTGTTCTAATGACTAAAGCACTGGATTGGAGTTGGGTTTCTGGGTTCAAGTTCCATCCCTGTTGGGTGTTGCTTTTGACACTTAATTGCCCTGTCTTTGGCCCTGTGAAACAAAGGTGAGAGTGTATTCTTCTACTTGCTTTTCTTTCTAGTCATGTTTGTAAACCAAACAGCTTCATTTTGTAATTGTGCAGTGTATAGCAGAACTCTTGATTTCTTTTTCTTTTGGTGCAATCTGTAATACTGAATAGGTTTTGTGTTTTTCTACATGTTTTATATATGCTTTGTTTTGCTGTTTGTGCAGCCTCTCAAATGGCACCACATCTGTTTTATGGAAAGACTGTAACTGATTTGTGCAAAGCTGTTGTAAGCCATTATCACAATTCTGCTTCCTAGTACTATGTTTCTACTGTCACTTACTCAGAGTAGTTACTACAATTGTCAAGGAGACTGCCTTGTATAACCATTGTAAAGTTTAGCTAATTACCTAACTCTTTTATCTGCAAAACTTAGAAATCTTTTGAGATGTTTTATCATGACATTATGGTACTCTATTGCAAGAAAGGAGAAATTCAAGGATTGTACGTTGGATCGTTATTCAAAAAGTTTAAGATGAGAGGGTTTCATGGAAAATGTGAACAAGTTTCTGATTTAATTCTGATCTGGTTCACCCATTGCTAGGAAAAATTAGATCATGCATATGAATTATTCATTATGAGAGCACTGGGAAACCTTGTCACTAAATTCTGCAAATTTTTTCTCCTTGCCACTAAATACTTATCTGTCTTTGACCATTGTGTAGGATTCTTTCACACACCTGTCTTGTCTGGCAAACACAAGATGATCTTTTGGCATAGCTGCAGGCTTCATTGCATTAGTATTTCTTCTAGAAGTAAACCTTGCCCCTTTGCTCAGAAATCAGAAAATTAGTTTTCATTGATGCTGCATAGCAGATCTGGGCATTAGCTGCTTGAAGGAAGCAGGGTTCAAGGCTGTGGCTAGGAGTGATAATAGAGCTAGTCAATGTCTTTTTTGTTTCCCTTCAATAGTGTGTTCTCTCTGTGCTTTGAAGCCTCAGGTAAAGATACACATGGGCCGCAATTTTATATCTTTATTTTAATCTTTAAAAAGAGAAGAAACAACCCCACACAATGCTGTTTATATTTGCCTTCTCCTGCTACACAAAAACCCCTAAGATAATAAATGGTTTGACCAAAAAGCAGGGAGCATATGGGGCAGAATCTCCTTTCACAATTTAGATTGGGCCTTCATTTGCACCTGAAACACTAAGCATGTTTTTTCTATTTTTCAGCATACTTTATCTTTTGTGTTCTGAAATAAATTGAATAAGAGTGCACGAAAATAATACTTGCTTATTTACTCTTTCAAAACCTTTAGATTATCAATATTCCAGCTGGAGGAGCATTACTGGATTCTGTTACTCCGATGGATTTTTTCCCAGGATTAAATCTTGAAGCTTTTCCTAACAGAGACAGTACAAAATATGCTGAGCCATATGGTATTCAGACAGCTCGCACTTTACTGAGAGGCACCTTAAGATACAAAGTAAGTTGTTGGTGTTATTATTAACAATTATTGTTTTCCTCAAGAGATGAATGTTGTAATTTCAAGAAAACTGTATATTTAAAGCTCAGCCTTTTATAGCTCTGCACTTGCTATTTATGAGCTCTTCACTATTCCAGTTGAGAGATAACTGAAAGCACTTATCTCATTTTTTAATATAGCTTTACTTGCTGTATTTAACAGGTGTTTGTTGCAAACCAGAAAAAAAGTTTTACTCCTTTTAGACAACTGGTCAGTGGGCTTTGCATAGTCTGTATCTGTGGTTTTTTTTATTCTGGCTCTGTATTTGGTGTCAGATCAACAGAAGATTTAAAAAGAAATAAATAATTCTGGTGGGTTTGTGTGATGTTTTAAGTGAGTTTAAGAATTGATCTATTCTCTTTATTTGATAAAAATTTGAACTTACAGTTCTGTTGCTTATATTCCCATGAAAAACATAATGTAAAAATCTTACAGAAAATTATGGTTTTCCCTGAAACTGAGAAAGTTTTTCATTAAGTAACTAGAAATCTTGAATTTCAGAAGCTTTATAATTTTGGCCAGCTAAGTAAAATATTAAGAGATAAATGTGTTTGCCTTCTGGCTGATCGACTCTTTTCCTTTCATTTGTCAGATGCACAAAGTGGAATCAAAACAGAATCTTTTTTCTTTCAGATTTCCTTTTTCTTAATTATATTCTCAGTCAATATACATTATGAAGGAATAAATCTAAAACCATATTGAAGGTTTGAAAAAGCTTTTATGGATGTCATAACATGTCTACAGAATTATGGTTTATGCCAAGGTTTAAGTTACTGTTGTTTGTCCATGGCCTGAGGAATGTGTATGTCCTTTCTGTCATAATTGAAGTGTTAATTATATTTAATGATGATATTCTTTTATTTCAGGGATTCTCCAAAACTATGGGAGGCTTTGTAAAACTAGGATTAATTAACCCAGATCCTTACCCTTTGCTAAGCTCAACCACCCCACCTCTAACCTGGGTGAGTTACTTTGATTACTCTGCCTTGTTTTCTCTATTTTATGGATGGTTTTCTTACTGCTAGGCTTGGGCATACTTAGCTTTGGGAATCTTCTCTGATTTCTGTTCCTGGAAATTCAAAGACTTTCTTCAACAGGAGTGTAATATAGTGCTAGAACAGGTTCCCTGAGAGACTTTGGAATCTCTAACATTGGAGGCTTTCAGGACTCAGCTACACAAAGTCATGGCCATATTTTTATGAATTGTCTTAAATTTTCTGTTACTCAGTCTGGCCGTCAGTGCTGTAAGTTTGCAGTGTCCATATTGGTACTGGCTCATGATCTTCAGTGTATGTTTTACATACTTTTTACATACTACTTACATAAAGAAATAAGAGATTGTGCATAAAGGAGTATATTAATTTTTTTTTCTGTTAAAACTCCATGCAAGCATTTTTTTTGTCTTCTGTTATGCTGCTTTTCTGTCTTGATTTTGGGTGCCTTACTTTATCTTTATTGCAGCCAAGGCATGACTCTGAGGTACTGCTATTACATTTGACAATCAACATTTTGGTTATCTCTGTGGAGAAATCAGGGAATGTCATATTTCAATATGGGGTAAAGAGAGCTTATTACTTGTCAGGTCTGTTTGTTTGCCTTCTGAGAAAAATTGTCTTCCCTTTTGCAAACCCCTAAGAGAACAACACTTCATTACTCAGGTGAACAAAATTCAGATCTGTCTTCATCTTTGTGCTTTTTTAAGCACTAATCTGGAAAAAGACACCAGACTTGTGCTGTGTAATGGTCTGAGGACAACACAGGATTTTTCTGATGATGTCAATATTTCCAGTGAAGAATGTCTTGAGTCTTCTTGGAACCAAGAAAGCAGAAGGTCAATAGGGCAAAGTCTTCTTTGGCTCTGACTAACTTACAACAGTTCTCATTTTCCTAAACTTGAGGAGTTTTTGGACAACCATATGAGAATTTTTTTTTTTTAATGATTTTTGTCCACTTTAAATTTTAGGGTTCAATTTGAGGCTAGTGCTTCTAGCCTCAGTGAATAAGAAGTAGTGTTATGTAACCTGTGAAAATAACTACTACCTCATTACTCTTACTGCAAACATTGTCTTAGCAAGTTTTTTACATCTTGGTAGTTTCCCTTTATCTCCTCTGCCTGGGAAGAAGAAAAGATGGGCTAACCTGAGCTTCTAACGAGACTCTGCAATTCTTGCTTGCTTCATGTCTCGCTTATGGCTCTCTTTACTATATGTCTTGCTGTGAATGAAGCAAGCGTGGATGGATTAGCATCTAAATCACACAAAATGGCCTTCAGAGATGCAAAACAATCTTCAGAAAACTCTTTGGTAATACTTGCAGGATTGCCAGAGCCTTGGAGCTCTCATCAGAGAGCCAGAGCTCTCATCAGTCTGTTTCCTTCATTTTGAGAGGGACATTTTCCATTTCTAGATCAACTGAAAGATATCATATCCTTAAGTTCCCAACTCTGGCAGTCTGCAGGTGGCTTCTCTTGCACCCTAATGTCCTCCCAGTGTTCCTTGTTTATGCAAATTTCTATGTTCTTTCTGTACTGCCAGAGGAAGGGATAAGACTAAAAAGTAGGGGGAAGCAGCTGAGGGTTGGGGCACAGAGTGTTTCACAAAAAGATAGGCACTATTCTCACCTGCTGTGATTAAGATTATCCCACTTTCCCTTAAAAATAATCTGTCTTGTCAGAAGTCCTGAATTTTAATTGAGCTTAGTGGAGGCTCTCAAAACCTTGATTGAAAAGGTGTGGTAACAAATGCCTTCGTGCAACCTTTTTTTTTTTTTTTTTTAAATGCAGAAAGAGCTCATGTGCAAACTGCTTGGAATTAAGTCTCCCGTTGAGCACCACGTTCTTAAAGAAGCTGTATTTAGCAAACTGGAAAAGGACAAAAGTCAGCTGGAGGCAGTGGAATGGTAACAATGTTCCAGTGATTTTTAAATGTTTTAAAAAAAATTAAAATGTTTGCAATTCTAGCTATTTTGGTTCATGTTGAGACTGATTAAACTGGTATGCTGAACAAACTGGAAATTATAAAACAGAGATGAAGCTGTTGATAGGCAATGATATAAGCCTTTCTCATTTGTTCTGCCAGGCTAGGTTTACTGGGAGATGAACCAGTTCCAGCAGCAGATTCCATTGTGGGGGCTCTTGCAAAGCATATGGAGATGAAGCTGCCCTTTGGTATGTGAGAAATTTTTCTCATGTGTTTGAGTGGAACAAGTCCATATCTTTTATCAGCCATAGTTAGATTAGTTCTCTCACCTTCATTAATAAACCTTCATGTTAGGTTTTTTAATGTACTGTGATGTTCTCTACTTCTCCAATTTATCCTTTTCTTTCCCTGTTACATTTTTAGTTTCATCTTAGTATTCTATCTTCCTTAATAGTCCTTGCCTTCAGTCACTTCCCTGATATACATGCTGTGTATGTGTAGAGCCTGGCTCCTCAGGAATCTCATCTTGATGGACCTGAAATACAGTTTGTGTGCTTTCCTCTTAGGCACTGGAGAGAGAGATATGATTATTATGAGAAATGAAATAGGTCTCAGGCATCCTTCTGGTCATTTGGAAGACAAATTTATTGATCTGGTTGTCTACGGGGATAACAAAGGACATTCTGCAATGGCTAAAACAGTCGGATACCCTGCGGCTATTGCTGCTAAGATGGTTCTAGATGGTAAGTGGCTATTCTGACTTCAGTAACAGTATTGCAACCCTCTGTATCTTCCTGCTGTAGAAAGCAGATATGAAGTGTTTCCAAAGTGTACATATGTATATATTGTTTGAATTTATCCGACCCTTCCTGTCTTCTTTACAGGAATTTTTAATCTGCATGTTTGGATGTTCAGTGACAACTCTTAATTTACCTTTTTTTCAGGTGAAATAACTACCAAAGGCATGGTTATACCCTTGACGAAGAATGTGTATGGACCAATACTTGAACGTGTTCGGGCAGAAGGCATTGTGTACAGTACTCGCAGTGTTATAAAACAGTAACTGGAAGCAGTGCATTTAATCAGGTTTTGACTTTGTTTGGTTCCAACCTCTGCCCCTCCCTTTAAGAATCTCAATTTGGACCAGCTAAAGGCAGCACCTGCTGTTTCATACACAGATGTTGCCTTCCATAAAACCTGCTTTTATGTAGAAACTGTAGATACTCATGAATTGTGGTATTTTCCTCTGAAAACTGCTAAGCTTTCATGTACATGTTTCAGCATCAATCAGAACTTTCCTTAGATCTTTTCTAAAACATATTGAAAGGGTTGGGTTTGGTTTTTCTTTTTTTTTATTATAGTTTATCTTCCAACTCTATAGGGTTATTAAGGCAATTTTAAACTGAAAGAATGATCTGTTAGTGGATTCTCTTTTGATGAAAAGGTCTAGTTAATAAATTTAATTGATGAAGTTTTATTGTTCATGTGGTAAAAATTTTTCAGAATAATGGAGATGGAAGTGATATTTTAAATTTTAAGTGTAATTGTTCCTTTCCCTTTAACAGTATTTTTGAATGTTTTCACGATAATAATATGCAAGAAATAGTTTAGAAATTCTACACTACTAGAAAATAAGATCTTGTTAAATCTTAAAAATGTTCAGTTCTTAAATATTTCAAACCTAGATCTTAATATTTTTTTAATCCCTATATAATGAGTGTAAATTTAAATTAATTGGAGGAGGGGGGAAGTTTAAAGAAAGCTTCCTCCTCATACCCTTTCCTGTTACAGAGTGGAAGCTGGCCGCAATATGTTGAAATATCTGCTGTTTCATGTTGCCTTGTGCTGTGGAGAGAGCACATTAGCATTTAGCTGGGCAGCTAGGTAGGGCATTCTACAGTTAATGCAAAAATACAACAGTTAATGTGCTTAGAAGCTGCTCCAAATGACATTTACCCTTTTCACTTACACTATGTGCCTTGTCCAGGTTAAGTACTGTTACAAAGGGAATAGACTGTGCAGCTTTGAAATGCAGTAGGCTTAGAATTTTAAATTGCCACTTTTTAAGTTAGCTTCCGTCCTTCTGCTGTCAGGCTTTTCAAGTATTCATTTGGGAGCCTATGCATATTATTCAGTACAGTGCCACTTTAAACTGATGGGAGTTTGCCAGTGGGCCAACTCACTTGCTGCTGAGTGCTGTGCTGCACAGATGTGCCAGCTCCCCTCTAGCTGCAGTTTAGTCACATCAATCCAGAACCGAACTTTAGCCCAAGTGCAGCTTCTCTGTAACAAAGCAGCAGTTGCCTCCTTCCAGTTCAGGGCTGCTTCTCTGGCTTTTGCTTAGGGATTTCTACACTACCTTGCAATGCAAGCATAGCCTAAACTTCACAGTTAGGTCTGTGAGGTGTAATGCTGTGGGCAGATAGTATTTGCACTGGTGCCTGTGCAGCTGCCTAGAACTTCCCTTTTCTAAAGCTGAATACTGATGCTGGAAGCTGTCTGCTTTCAACTTTGCTCACAAGTGCACTTTGCTGATAAAAGCACAGCCTTTTACCTCCTGAGAACCATAGTGCTGTAATTACAGTTCTGAGGTGATGGAATTCCAGGTGTTGTTTTGCACAGTAGGAAGAGCAGCCATAACAATAATTCAAGTTTGGATCTCCAAATTTTACTACTCAGGATTTGGATTTTCTCTGTGTAGATACAATGAAGTAGCAATTGCAACAGCTAGGTGAAAGGAGCCAAAGGGAGATGGAAGAATGAAGGGCAGAGTATTATTTCAAAGAGAAGGGACTTTTTATACTAAACCATTGAGTGCTTTTGTAATGTCAAATTTTGATTCTGTTAAAGTGCAATGCATACATCAGATGTAATTCTGTTACAGTGCCATGCATATATTGGACAAAATCCTGGATCCACAAAGTTGCTTTACTTCTCACTGACCTTACAGGCTGCTGGTCTGTTGTATGGCTGGTGTAGGCAGCTGGGCTAAGGATGGATCCAATGAATGTTCTGCTCTCTGCTGCTTCCTCCTTCACCAAGTAGATTAAAGGCCTACACCTAAGGGTTAAAGTTATACTTGTATCTACTGGTCCATTCCAGCCCAGTGCTTGGAGACCAGGATTTTAGTTTAGAATTCTCTGATCCCTACCTTAGCTCCTAAGTACACAACCTGTATATATGCATGCACTGTACTTGCTTTTCTGCCTTGGAAATGCAGTATGCCAAGAAAATTGGAATTTTTTAGAAGTATCTGATATTTTTGGAGCACTAAAGAATGAGCACTACAGTGTTTCCTTCAAGAAACACTGCTACTATTTTTGAAACATTTTGTATCAAAGTATATTTCTGTTTCCCAGTGCAATGCTGCATTTTGTTTTCTACATTTAGAGTTAAATGAATTTATTGTTCTTCTTTTTGTATGAAGATTATACTTCTCAGTTCTCTTTGCATATTATTGGAAAGATAATTGTATCTAATACACAAGATTGCTTGAAAAATAAATTTGAAATCCTCTGTTTTGTGTTCTTGTAATTTTTACAGCCTAATGAGATGTACAAGAATGGGATTTGGTTTTTTACATAGGTGGTTATATTGAAAGGGTGTCTACACATTTTTCATGTACATGAAATACCTTGGCATACTTCTTGCTAGATGCACGCAAGAAGATTCTTCAAGGATTGTTTAAGCATCCCCGTCTATATAATTATATACATATATACATAGGTATATCTATATCTAGACATAATTTTTACCTATAATCTTAATAGATTTTGCTTAGTAAGTTTTGGTTTTGGGTGAAATAAAGACAAGATAAAATACAATAAAAATTTAGCTATGTTAGTAAAATTTAGATATGTTAAGTGTGACTTTGCAAAATTGTAACTACTTGAAAGAAGGTTGCTGCCCAAACTGTGGGCAGTTAAGATAAAGCTAGCTTATGTAAACAAAGGGGACTGTCAGGGAAAGCGGAAAAGACCTGTAGCACGTAGCATCACAAGGGAGACAGAAGAGGGGTAGAGAGGAAACCTAAGCTGTTTGAAATGATAAAACTTTATGTAACTACTCCATAGTAATAAGAATAGAAATTTAGGCAACCAAATGTCTATTTAGATAAAGCAGATTTCGTAAAGAGTGTGTATGATAGATAATTTTGAAACTCACTCCTTCAAATGTATAAAAAGCTGTTGTGTTTCTTTTCTTGGTGGAATGCATGGGCCGGGGGGGCAAAACCCCCTGCATCTTCCAGACCGTCATAAAAGTGTGCTTTACATATCATTTAAGGATTTCTTTGAATCATGGGCACAAGGACAACTACTAAATTGGAAAGGCACAGAACAGTAGATGTATGATATTTCCCTGTGCCCCAGGAAGGCATGAAACTTGGTGTCTCATGGCCTGTCTTGGCTTGAGGGCCTTGCTTAGCTAAATATGTGGCTTCTGCTATCACTGCCTAGGCCAAAAGGCTCGTAAGCTCTTCATTCACATCTGGCTCCAAGGAACAGGTTGTCATTGTGTGTCTCTCATTTTTTTCATTTTGGAATTTAAGCTAGTGCCAGTTCTTCCTGACATGTAAGATTCCAGTTTCTTTCTGAGATGGAGGTGCTTGAGCTCCATTACACTCAGGCTGCCTTTCTTGCCTCTGTTTCACACTCTCTCAGCCTCAGCTCTTCCTACAGGTGAGAGTTATATCCCTTTGAGGGACTGGAGTACAAAAGTGGCCCTGCTGGACAAAGGGTGTAAGCTCATAGCACAGTAGCTGTTTAAGGTAGAAAAAATGGGCTATATCGGTTTTGATTATGCTGGAAAAGAAGAAAAGAAAAGGCGGGGAAGAAAAAAAGGAATTTATCTTTGAGTGTCCAGCAGAATTTATCAAGGCAAATTAGACCATCTCTGTCTAAATTACAGTGTCAGAGTTGTGACTTTCCTGAAAAAAGGAAATGAATTCCATAAGCCAAAAGTTTTTTTCATCCACTTGTTTTGGCTCTGGAAGTAAAAAAAATGCAATTTGGAAATGGAAGGAGTAGTCATAATGTGGTCAAATGTTCTGAGAGAGATTTCTCTTCCTTCTTGTCCCTTTGAAAGACCCTAACCCAACAAAGCACAAACCTGTGAGAAGTGGATGGTCAGACCTGAGGCTTGTTGCAGGGAAATAGTGAAAACTAAGGCTGTAACCCAAGACACTTCAGACCTAGCTAGTAGTTGGGTCTTTGTTTCTAAAAGCAACAACACAATATTGCTCCTCTTCTCCCCAGCCCTGCTTTGCTTAAGCTTCAGAACGATTAAGACAGAAACAAGTTTACCTTTCCTCAACTCGTCTTGAAGTAAATGTTTACCACAGAAAATTTCAACCCATCTGAAATTACTCGTTGTCCTGGGACTTAGCAAAGAGCTGTGCCAGGTAAAGCACTGTGCTAAAACATTGCTAACAACTTTTGTCAACTGATCTTTGAAGTCCACAAAAAGGTCTTTAGCTAATTTGCTGTACTGATAGCAATGAGTTTGCTATGACCACTGTTGATCACTCATTACTGATTATTGTAAAGCTTTTCCATAGGTATTAAATCTCAACATCACAATCACTAAACAGTTGGTGATGTTTGATATTAGCAAATTATTTTTTCTTTTTTTGTCTTTTTTTTTTTTTTTAACCTACTCACCTATGATTTCTAACTAATCAAGTTTTCCTTGTTACACATGACTTGGAGTATTGTCAAAAAAAAAAAGATCTTAAACTGATGTTGTTTATTAATATCTTACTTCTTGCAGGGGATACATAACATCTTCTCCACACTTGACCTAGTTTGAAAAGGCAGGCTACGTGTCTTTTGAGTCTGTAGCTTGGATTACAAGAAAAAAAATTAATTAGAATATGGCCTTTGTCTGAGAGAGGAACTGACACGCATTTATTAAAATCTGTAATCCATCACAGTTGAAGATTATAGAAGATTTTTTTTACGATTCTTATTTTTTTTCTAGATCAGAACCAATATGTGTGAGTAAAGAGATTACCCTAAGCACTTATGTTTTAAATAACTTGTCAGTATGCTAAGATGATGAATGTGATTACAAACATCTCTAGAAGAAACCTTGAATGACAGCTGATTCCTTGGATTATAAATTTAAAATGTCTGCAAAACATTTAGGTTGAAAGGAACAGTTATATCAAGATTGGATTTTAGGAAGGAAGCGTCCTTTTTTTGCTTTTGGTCCATAGCGGCTTGAAAAACATAGAAAAATTAATTGGCCTAAAAATTACTTTTTACATACAACTATATGAAATGGTAAATACATTAATAGAAGACAATTTTATGCTTTTTATTTTGATATGTGAGGCAACAATCCAGATTTCTTTGAAAGAAAAGGCTGAAGAAGTATCACATGATCACTGTAGTTTCTCTTGTTGTGTGCTAATTTGCAGAAGTACAGTATCTGCTAATGAGGTTATGGAATATGATTTGAAAATGGCCATAAGATAACAACTGATTTCTCATATGGGCACTCCTAGAGATTAGAAAATCAAAAATTGTATAATTTTTGAATGGGAAAGCAAAACTGTTTAGTATTGCTGTCTCTGTTAGACCAGATGTGCAAATGGAGTGTGTCAGCCAATCTAAGTGCTTTAGAGAAACTGATAAAGAACCCTCAGGCCACTTGGAAAAAGAAGATACTCTCTTTCTCAAAGCACAACCATTACACACCTTTGTATGCACCAACTTTGTGCCTGAACACTGTGAAGAATGTGTATGTGTAATTCAACAGTCTTACAAAAATGTGTATCATTTGGGACAATGCACCCATTCTGTTACCCCCCCCAACCCCACAAATATTATAAGAAAATAACTGTAGATTCTATTCTTCAAAGGCATTTAACTCAGCTAGAGATATATCACGTTTGCTTGCACTTTCAAGTCATATATCAGTCCTGTTCTTCCTGAATTTCAGATTTAGCAAATATGCAGGCACGGCAAGGACCACAGGGAAAAAAAAATAGTAAAATGTTTATATTTTGAATAAAGATGTCTTGCCTCAGAAAAGTAGGTTCCCTCTGAGTTACTCAATGAACTAATTATGGCTTTGAACTAAAGAGATGAGTACTTCTATCTGCAGGCACATGGCTAGCACTCCTTACCTGAGGCTGAGCCACCTGTGCAGATCCTGAGAACTGCTGGGCATCACAGGGGAAGCTCCTGGAGAGGCAAGAGCAAGCAGCTGACAGTTTTTAGGAAGAGTGCCATGAGGTCTGGTGCCACTACACAGGTGGATCATGGGGAGTTATATGAGGGAAGGCCAAGCTCTGCTTGAGACATTCTGGAAAGAAAAGTTTGAAAGGCCAGAAATACTAGAGAACTGTTGGTAGTACTATGTACGACTGAGATGATCTACGTGACAGCATCCGATGTTACACATTTGGGTATGGCTGCAAGAAAACTAAGACCCATGAAGGTAATTAAGTAAGAAGGTTGTTTATCTGCAAAGAGATAGAGACGGCTGAAGTAACAGTGACCAATGCGAATGGGGAAATTATAAGCACGGGAAAAGGAGAGAAGAGGGTAAAAGGTGTTTGCATATATGTGTGCCAGTTGCTGGGCAGTACTTTGCCCATTTGTGCCCTGTGCCTGACCACTGCCCTCTGTCCTGCCTCCTTAAATCCTAGTACTATTCTCTGTGTCACGAATCCTGTTTCTGCCATCCTGTGTGTGTCTGCACGCATGTCTCCCTGTGTGTGAGCATGTGTGTGTGTATGCACGTGTGTGCCCTGCATGTTCCCTGGCTGGGCCCACACAGGGGCACTGGGCTGAGACAGGAGAATCGTCCTGCATGCAGCTCTGATGTGCAGGAAAGGGGAAACCCCTGGGGTCCTGAGTCCAGTGGATTCAGCCACTCCATAACCTCTGGGACTGTACTGCTGTGGTTATAAAGAGAAGTGGTCAAGTGTAAGAGAATTCAAACACATTAACATTTTACCACAGTTTTCCAAAACCCACCTATCTGTTACACGGACTAGATGTTACATGAGACCTCTAGTGGTCCCTTCCAACCTTAACCATCCCCGTGATGCTGTTATACAGAGTTTTGTCTACATGATATTATTTAATTTTTAATAAAAGAGAATGAGTATGAAAAATTCTCTCTTACTGCTAGGTATTCTGTCATTCTGTGCCATTCTGTCTCCTGGTCTAGCACCTTCACGCTCGTTTCATGTATCAACAGTATAACGATTTTTTAAAGTTTCTGCTGTTTGGATTCCTCTAAACTTAAATTTATTTTGGCTTTATTGCAGCTTCACCTATCATCAATCCCACACTGCTGAGGGGGTCTAGATCTATCCGCTGACATGCTGAGATCCTTCATACAACCCTACTTTAGGAATCAGTTAAGGAATCAGTCAACTAAAATCTCCAAGCCCACATCAGGCCCATCTTTTCCTATGCTTAGTTTTCATCTAAGATAGGATCCATTAGTTTCTGTGGCATTCTACCCCAGAACAGTATCTCTGCTCCCAGTATTTCTATGTAGCACCTGTATGTACCAAAGTGAGAAAATAGTTGCTCTCACAGCCTGTGTTTGTTTTAAACACAGTGCTGCAACCTTCAGTACAATCAGTATCTTTTTCTTCTCAGTTCAGAAGCTTACAGAAAATAATTCAGTGGCCAACTTGCTTTTGTTCTTGCAGTGATTACTTGCTCTATTGCTTCCCAGAGTTTGGCTGTTGCCTTGCCAAAGGAGGCAGCAAAGAGCTCAACAGCTGAATGAATGATCTGAAACAAAGCCAGCACCGAGAAGTCTTGGGAGGGGGCAGCTAAGGCAGTGGGATAGCCCATTAACCTGTGAGTGACCAGAGTGGGAGATGAGCAAGGAGAGGCCAAAGAAGGAGTTAATGTGGTCGCTGAGGGTACATGTGGGAATGGAGCAGAGATTAAATAACATAAAAGTTTTCCATGAGTGTCTCCTGAACTCGCAGATTCCATGGGAATTGCAGCCATCTGCAGGTCACCCATAAGTCCTTATTCTTGTAAGTAAAAGCTCTACTACATGACAGTGAAGGCTGTGTGGAAGTATAGTGAACTGTACTGTATGTGGAAGACTGCTCAGCACAGACTGTAATATTTATATTTATTTTTTGCAATGCCATAGGTAAAAACAATTTAACAATGCCAAATACAGTGTTATTCTCATAAAAACTTCTCATTTCAAAACAAGTGATTTCTAGTTCCCACAAAAAGTTAAAATCACATGCAGCTATTTGAAGGTAAATTGCTTAAGATGCACAATTATATATCATAGGATTTTGTTAAAATAAAAACATACTGACTACAACATTTTAACAAGGCAATTACACAGAACTAGAAAACTGACTCTGTAGTAAAATATAAAAATCTACAATTATAAATATAAATTTGGTCCATGGATCACTACAGAAGTAGCAGTATTTACAGTAAGTATCAGATTACCATTCTAAATGTCTAACTGAAGTCTTAAAATGTTGAATGTTATGTAGAAGAGTATTTTATTTACATTCTACTATATTAAAAGTTATATTTCTAGCAAATGTAAATTGTTATAAATACAGCGAATAGATCAAATACTAAACCCATTACATGTTTGTAATTGAGGATTTCCCTAACATCTATAAATATGGTAATTTTAAGTTAAAAGTAAAGCCAGATAAATCAAAAAACTAATACTGAAAAAATCATACCACAATTCAATTCTTAGAAACACTGTAAAAGTCAATCAAGTTAGTCCAGACATAACAACGTATTACAAGAAATCTTTCAAGAAAAGGCACACATTGTTAATGATAAGAGTTCCACAGTAAAGTTGTATGAAACAGAAAAGACTGTTGGTTTGAGCAAT